TATATATATATAAAGTAGTCACATGCTTAATATAGACAGCACTTGATGATCTCTATCATTCAAAGAGTTATAGAAAATTTCAAATAAACATTATACTGTTTTACGCAGAAATTGTAGAGACAAATTATATAAATTTTATAAAAAATATATAATTTTTATTCAATCAAAATTATCATATAAGGTAATTAATACATTATATATATATATATATCTAAAGCAATTTTTGATAATTCTTTGAATGGCCGAGGCTATCTAAGAGTTCCTTTAATTGAACTACTCTAAATAGTTTAAATATAAAAATTTAACAAGCAATTCGTAAATTTTTACACAAAAGAAGAGCAACAGGAAAATATAACAACTACCCTTTTATATATCATTTATATATTATCCACTATAGTAAATGTGATCAATCATAGTTATTGCAATATTGTGCTAGATGTTAAGTTGTTATTGTGCCTTGTCATAAATTTTGTTGAAATAGCTTTATGGAATATTGTGTATTATTAATATATCAATTCATGTAATAATGTATTGTTCAGTGCATTGTGACATTAATTTGTCAACAGAAATAATTATGAAGAAATTATCATTAAATATTTGTTATATTCTATTATAATTTTATATATTTATATATATATATACATATATATAATGTATCTCATGCAGGATGTTATGGAATATTCTTTTAATCATAAATATTAAAAATATTGCAACATTAAATTTATAATAAATGACTTATTTAAAAACACTGAATGTTTATGTAATAAATTTATTTATTTTAAATAAACAGACATCAACAAAAAAAGGTTTTGATAGAAAACAGAAATCAAGTATTGATATCAGCAATAGATATAAGTACAAGATATAGGATTAATAATGGCTATAAAATTTTACATTGAAATAAATTATATATATATATTTTAATATAATTTATATTTGTATATAATAGATTAATTGTTAAAATAATTTAACATTAATTACCTAGGATTCCTATATCTCTAGTATGTTATCAGAGCAGCATGTGCCTGCTTTCTAATATTATCCGCAAGCCTTTTTATTTCCTCATTATCTGCCTGCATTTCCTGTCCTTCTCTTCTCAAAGTACATTCCAATTGTCTCAACTGCTGTTTGGTATTCAAATAAGTTTTTACTTTCTTGTATATATCATCGGAGTTGTTAATACTTGTCAGACCATAAGATTCTTTTATATGTAAATCATCTGAAATTGTATTAGTAAGAATATAATTTAATGATTCTTTGATAAAAAAAATATTCGGTTACAGCGTAAACTAATTATAAATCACAAGCAATAACTAAATAATATATATATAAGAAAAATCAAACTTAAACTTTCTAAGATATTCTAGTATGTAATTTTTACAAAAAGATTAAAACTTGAACAACACAATATTTAATTAAACTGGATATGTGTGTGTGTGTGTGTGATCTTTGTATATAAAAGATAAAGCATATTTATTTATATATATAATTCAAATTCGACAAATGTTAGTCATAGAGATATTCACTTATGATTTTAAACGCTACATCATCCACAACAGCATTTTCAAGATCTTCCAACATATGTTCATGGTTTGGTAAATGAGGCCTTGGTGGTAAACTATTCTTTTTATTACTAAACATTATATAGAGTCAATGTTGGTATAAAAAAATCAGAGCATTAACTTCACTCTTCCAATTCCAGTTTATTGTTGTTTTCTTCTTCTTTTTTTTAAATTTTGTCCATTAATGAGACAAAGTTATAGTTATTGTTCCATATCACTATTGTCAGAGAAAATGAGAGAGAAGACTTCTTCTCTTTATTATTGTTTGGAAACCAAATGATTATATATACAATTTTAATAAACCATAAACAAAAAAGTGCAAGGAAGAGAGAAAAATATTTACATCTCTGGATTCTCTCTTCTGTTCGAAAATCTACACGTTGGAGCAGAATGGCGTTTGATTGACCAATCAGGGCAAAAGGAATATAGGTTTCTTTGTTCTTATTGGCGAACCAAACGCTATTTTATCCGATGAATAGATTTTCGAACATAACCCAAGATGTTTCTAAATTCCAATTGGTTCCATTCTCGCGTTTCTCTTTTTCACGTAAAAGTAGTGCTCGCTGATGTTACAGGATAATACGAATTAAAGAACACTGTATTTAGTGAAGAAAACACAAAAATTTATATAAAAATGTACGTAGTCGAGTTTTAACGATTTTTTATAATTTTTATCAATTATCGAAATATAGAGATTTAGAACTAAAGTTCACTCGTGATTCATGTGCACATGTGGCATGTGTACATATTACTTCGCGTGTTATTTTATTAACTGGAATTCTTCTTTCAGATGCCATCTGTAACGTTAAAAGACGTGGACCAGCAAAAATTTGTAAAGGCCTTCGCAGCCTTCCTTAAAAAGTGAGTAAGAAATACAGGAAAGTTTGAACCTAACCTAAATAATCTCTCATGTCTAATATTGAAAGCACAATATAATTGCATACATTCTTATTTATAATTATCTTTATTATAAAAAAAAAATTATTTATCTACATCATTCAACTTATAAAATTCTTACTCTATACTGTACGCTTCTGCATTGCTCTACCTATGCATGATAATTCATTGCACAAAGATCTATTTTATGACATTACATAAAATTTTAGAACTGGCAAAATGCGAGTGCCAGAATGGGTGGACATTGTGAAAACGGCCAAATTCAAAGAGTTGGCTCCTTATGATCCCGATTGGTACTACATCAGATGTGCAGCTTTGGTACGTCACATTTATATCCGCAGCCCAATCGGTGTCGGCGCCGTCACCAAGATTTTTGGTGGACGCAAACGCAATGGCACTCATCCCAGTCACTTCTGCCGATCAGCCGGTGGTGTTGCGCGCAAAGCGCTCCAAAGCTTGGAACAGTTGAAACTGATTGAAAAAGCACCTCTTGGCGGACGTAAATTGACCAGCCAAGGACGCAGGGATTTAGATCGTATCGCCGCACAAGTTAAAGCTAAAAGCAAAAAACAACTTAAACTTCAAGAGACAATTGCAATTTAGATATTTCCTTATGTTTCTGTAACAAAAAATTAAAAAAAGACAAATCTCTAAAAAAGAACTGTTTTTTTTAAATATTTTTAAAATACATGAAACCACTTAAATCATCAAAATCAATAACGGAAGAATATAATAAGCAGATAAAAGATGATTAACTAAAATTCCAAAAATTCATTCAAAGAATTCCCAGAAATTTAAGTCTGATGGTTTGAACTACAAATATTTAAACCATTTCTATTATTCACATATATCTACACAATTGTAAGTTATAAAACTAATGTATATTGCATCCTTACATATGTTTATATCAGATAGTTGAAAACAATTGATAATATTCCTTAGTTCTTCTCTAATCAATGATACTAAAATACAAATAAGAAATAACATCATTAATTATGAAACAAAAAGTTTTGTTGAAATATTTATATTTTTAAACATATGTAGTAAAAGTCCCAAGGGTAATAAAGAAAAGACCAAAATTTAATGCATGCATCAATTAGAATTCTGATAAAACTTTATTTCTTATGCTTCAAAATATAAAATGCATTTATTACATTTGCCTTATCTAGATATAAATTATACTACAGAGCAAACGAGTTCAAAAATATGTCTCATACAATGCACATCAAAGTTTAAATAAGATACATACAATTGATATAAAGTAAAGCAATTAATCATTTATATACTGATTATTTGCAATTACGCATAAGAGAAAACAGACAAATTCCATTATCGATATTAGTTGATATTTCTACACAAAAACACACAATGTTTATTATAAATTAATATAAAGTATTGCAGGACAATGATCACTGCCATAAACCTGTTTCCTTATAATATTGTCGCACACTTTATTCTTGATCCGTTCTGATACTAGGAAATAATCCAATCGCCTATATATAACAAATTTTATTTAAATGTAGATTATTTTTTGCTTTAATATATATAGAGCATTTAACTATAATCAATAAGTTATAATTAAATATTTTGTAGAAATAAAGGAATGATTTTATAGTTGCAAAAATTTTCGGGAACATTAAGAGAGATATTGTAATTTATGATTAATATATTGCACATAAGATTAAATTAATACATGTATCACATAACTTAACGTCTCATAAATATATAGGGAAAAAACTTTTGCATTTTTAATACTAAATCAAATTTTTCTACAAAGCTTTTGCTAGCTATTTATAATTTCATAAAATATAATTTTAGTAAAGACAACTCATTTACTTACCACCCGATATCCTTATTACGTGAGTTGGCGAAATATGACCAAAATGTATATGCACCTTCTTTATCAGGATATAATAACCTAAAAGTATCTATAAAGCCGGCAGCTAAAAAATCGGTCATATCATCTCGTTCTTCCTTGGTAAAACCAGCATTTTTAGCATTTGTTTTGGGATTCTTTAAATCTAAGAACAATGGTAATAAATTATAATCTTAATGTTCCCAAAATAATAATTATAAATACAAAATAATAATAATATTCTATATTTGAGATTAAATGAAGTTGAAACTAATATATCGATGATACCTATTTCTTGATGAGCCACATTCATATCACCGCATATAATAACAGGCTTTTTTTGATCTAATTCCTTAATATATTTCTTAAATGTCTTATTCCATTCCAATCTTTTTGGTAATGTTACCAACTTTTGCCCAGCATTTGGCACATCTATTATATTATATTCTATTATTAAATACTAAACATTTTTGTTAAAATTAGAAGTATTTTTTAAAAGTATATATATATAAATATAATATATATTGAATTTTATTTAGATATATCTCCGATTCTTGTGATTGTGTCATATAATCAGAATTTATCTCTTTATATATAATTATTAAAAAGACATAACTTACAAATATTGACCATAAAAAATTCTGGGAATTCTGCTGTGATCATTCTACCTTCGCTATCAAATTCAGAATTGTTTAAGCCATATTTCACAGAAATCGGCTTTTCTTTACAGAACAAAGCAAGCCCACAATAACCTGGTTTTTTACCTATTAAAACATATTTATTAATTATGTGATATGTGCATATAAATTTTCCTTCAAATATTTCTTACTGTCCAGAAAATAATGATGGTATCCTGGCAACTTGACTTCATCTGGCAATTTATCTTTGTCACATTTTGTTTCTTGCAGAGCAACTATATCTGCATCTTCTTTGATAATATAATCCATTCCATTTTTCTAATTAAACATTAGTATAAAAAACTATTACCAATATAATAAAATATAATAAAATTAAGACAAATTAAGCAAACATACTTTAATGACAGCCCTGATTCCAGAAACATTCCAAGTACAAATCTTCAAATTATAATCATTGCCTTCCTCATTTGGCTTTGTACACCCAAAATCTATCTCATCCAGGTTTGTATCTGTCTTATTCTGCATTTGCTTGGGTTCATTCTTTGTTTTTTTCATAGTAGATGAATCATTTTCATTAACTTTTTTTGATTCCTTTGATTCGATTTTTGCCTTCTTTGGTGCAGGTTCATCATTTGTATCATTTGCACGCTTTTTTTTAGAAGTTTTAGATTCATTCAATGTATCTATTTTCTTACCAGATTTAACTTTGGAAGTATCAACCTAGTTTTAAGAAAAATTTAACATATAGCCTTTTTTATACTATTAATATAGAATACCATAAAGTGTTGAATTAAATATATAATTGTAAAATTTTTAGCAAATAGTATTGCAATTATATCATATTTTATATACAAGAGAATATTTAGCATAAATTTATTAATCATTTATAGTCATACTAATAAAGGTAATCTCTATCCTTATATATAATTTTGCAAGTTTAAGGACTTTTTAGTTTTATCGATGAAACTAAATTTCATAAATAATATCTCAAAATCGTAATTATTAAAGAGTCTTATCGTTAGTTGATTATGTTTTCATAACCGGTAAATACATAGCCTAACTACGTCTCTAACCACGTTTATCGGATTTTATCTTTTCAACAGAAAATCTAGCTGTGTTTCCAATCGAAGAAACGATATTAGCTCGCCAGTTTAAGATAATACTTTATTTCTTTTACGGACCTTGATAACTCCCGTATACGTGACTGGAAGAAAAGCAAACAAACGTCTGATGCAGCTTGGTTTGTTATACAACTTTAAATTTAGTGCCATTTATCACTGTTTAGCATCATGCGGTACAAGAGACGACATATTATTAAACCAACGCGTATATCATCCAATAATTTTGCCAACTCCTTTCAAAATATATTCTTATCCAATAGAAAATTCGGATCCAAACTGGCGACATTTTTGTCCCTAAAAAACAAACGTTTCTATTGGATATTGGATGTTAGATATCGGACGCAGTGTGAATCTTCCATAAGGAACGCGGTACGATTATCGATATGCGTACTCGTCCGTATTTGGTTTCGCAATATTGGCAGCAATGTCGACAATTGACAAGAAGGAAGAATTGGACAACAAACGGGGAACCTGTTGTTCGTAGGAGAGGAGGATTATGGGAATGTAGACACGCTACGAACGCGATTGCCATCATGAACACCAAAACAAATCCACAAAATGTGTCGAATTCGTACAACGGAGGTAATCCAGTTTTTAATTCTGCACTTCTTTTTTTTTATATATACTATCTTCGAATCGTTGTCGCTCGGTTAAGAAAAACGCGCGCATCGCAGCATCCGTAGATAGTAAATTGAAAAGCTGTCTGCTGGGCGTCCTTATGGCGTCTGCTAAAACTCGACTAAAATAATTTTTATTCGATATATAAAAAGAGCAAAAGAGAGGCGTGTGTTAAATAAATTAATGCTATCTATTAATGCGGATCGCATGGATTATAATCTCCTTGATGATAAAATACAATATATACCTTCTTTAGAAATGTAATCACCAATAGTGTGATGTATACATATATACATTTTATACTTTGTATATGTTTATTACGATAAAGAAATTCATATATTTCGTGTTTTACACATTCTTTTTAATGACATGAAATATGTATTTATGAAAAAAATTTATGAAAAACTTATAATTCTATTTTATATTTGTATCAAAATATTTTACAATATATATATAGAAAGTTTTTATTCGTTCTTCATAAAAAATTGAACTGTTATGTAGTATAAAACTATTCTTATTTAGTATATACAAAATTAATACATAGATGTATATTTAAGAATACTAATTGTTATAAATATTGTTATAGATACTATTGGAAGGGATAGTCCATCAGCATTGCTAGTAGTGCTTGCAGAAGTTGCATCTCAAACATTGCATTCAGAAACAAAGCGTATTGACTCATTGCTGGCAGCACAATGCAAACCTAGAACAGCGAGTATAAAACGGAAAGAATCATGCTTTACCGTATCTCAGCTTTTATCTATGCCTGTTTCCCATCTTGTTAAGCAATTTACTATTTTTACAAGTGACGAGCTCAAAAGACAATATTCTTATACTTGCGCATTAGTGCCTGGTTGTCAGCAGAAATATACCAGTTTTGCTAGCGAAGAAAAGGCAAGAGCATCCATTAAAAGTCATTTAGAAGAGCATTTAGAATATCTGAAAGCAGACAAAGAAACATGTATGTATTTTAACAAACTTATTGTGCTACTTATATCTAAATACTGTTTTTCTTCATGTATAGATTTGTTTTTCAATTTGGAATTTTTATAACAGTATTTATATAAAAAGAATTTCATGAGAAATTTCCTTTCTCTTATATAAATATTCTTATAATTTTATATATTAAATTTAAAAATCATGATAAAATTTGTAAATTGCATATATAGATAATAATTTATAACATATCTTTATGTAAAATAAATTATATTGTGTTTCATGATTAAAAAAAAAATCTTGCCTTTATGTTGTTACAGATGATACATTTACAGCAAAAAGTATAAATCATAAAAATTTAAAAACTAATCTACAAAGTAAAAAAAGTCGGATACAGCAGACAAAAAAACCTCAAGAAACAATAAATAAGAAGAATAAAGATGTGATATTGGAAAAATCTACAAATTATTTACGTAAAATACTTTTAAATGATATTAATATTAAAGAGAATGAGAAGCAAAAATGTTTTCAGAATTCGGAAAATAAAGAAGCGCACAATTCCGAATTAAAAAATTCTGACCAAATGAATACTAAGGTCCTTGGAGATCATAGTTATTTTGAACGATTAGATGATAAGATGCCTAACAGAAAGGGGATGCCATCTGTTAATAATGTCTTAGATAATACAAGAAAAGAAAATGTTAGTAATTAATCTACGAATTATATATATTAAATATGTTTCAAATATAAAAATATTTAATTGGTATATAAGAAAAATGTTATGAGAAAAATATAATAGAGAAAGCTATATAGAGATTTATAACACATTGCATAAAATCTAAGGCAGTATAAAATCATCAAAAAATATTCATATACACTTGATATTTATATTTATACATAATTTAACATGTGTCTATATACTATATTTTGTAAATATATTTCTTTCCAGATTGTATTGATGGTTGTTGGTAGTGATAGTGTACATATGAAAGAGTATTCTTCTGTCAACCAGAAATTAGCTGAAAACACAAATTGTCAAGATTCTGATATTCTCTATTCATCAGGTACATTTCTGTATAATAATGTTTTATTTTGTCTCATACAAAATAAAATACAAAACATTAATTTACAATTAATACTACAAGAATATTACTGTATTTAAATGTAAATTGTAATTCTAAATTGTGTAGCTTTTTAAATATATATTACATTTATGTATGTACAGATTCATGGTCAGATGAAACTCTGATAAAAAATACAGAAATATCTACAGCTACCAAACCTAAAGGAAAAGCAAAATTTATTGGAACGAGTAAGGAAGAGAGGGAAATGGCATTAGCATATATAGAGCGTATCAAGAAGAAAGGCAATCCTACAGGAAGTAATCTACAATGTCGGATTTGCGATCCACCTCGTAGTTTCACCGCGCCTACAACTTTAGTATCTCATTATCGTAGTCACGCTGGAATAAAACCATATGAGTGTCGAATATGTAGAGCAGTTTTCACAAGAAGACACAGCTTGAAGTATCATATGTTGATTCATCAAAATCAGACGCGCTTCACGTGCCTAGATTGTGGAAAGAAGTTTAGGCATCCATCACACTTTAGAGAACATCAACGTAGACACACTGGAGAAGCCCCGTTCGGATGCGACGATTGTGGACAACGGTAAGTAAAAATATTCAATTAACTCTTTAATATTTAAAAGATACTTATGGTTTATTCTTTTAAACATTAGTTTGAATCGATTAAGATATTTAAATTAATTTATTTTCAACTAATTTATAAATTAACTAAATTTCTTCGGTTTTTTCTTGTTAATTTTACCTTCAGAGAGAGATCGAAACTCAATTGACAATTGATTGTGTATAATATTTTCATACTGTTTTTCATATCAGGTTCAAAACCAGAAATACGTATAAACGTCATTTAAAAACACGACACGGTAAAATTCTTACGACAATCGGTGAAGTTTTGCATCTTTCCGAAGAAGACTTTCAAAAGGTTCGAACTAATCGAAGAAAGAAAGATTGTGTCCCAGAGACTACAATGAATGTCGATAATATTGAGTCTAATGTGATCGTGGATTTTGGAAATTACCATGACAAAACGCAAATTGTTACAAATTCAATAGAAGAGTATGTTCTGAAAGAGAATATTGAGGATATTAATAGAAATTTGGAAACAAAAGGTACTATACAATTTGTTGATAAATGTCTTGAGAGTTTTGAGATTTGTTCGGAATCTCAATTGAATAAGACTGATGGTATAGAGACTGAAATAGCTATAGATTGTAGATATGCCGATAAGAACGATAAAAGTGTCAGAGTGGAACATATCAATGATGTAGAAGATGGCCTGCTACAATTAAAAAATCCTTTTTACGATAATTTAAAAATAACCAATAATGAAGAAAATCACATTATTTATCAGCATAACATCGAAGATCAGAACAAAGTTTATGATTGCAGCAATAGGATACAATGGCTTGAATATTCTGAAGTAAAATGTAATAATGAGACTTCGAAGGAAGAAGATGAAGATATAATAGAGGATAGAATAAATATAGATCTTTCAGAAGAGCTACACAGAAATAAATTACATGTGTTGCAAGAATCTATACACAATTATCACAAAATCATATGCGACAATGATATGCCAGATAAAACCGCAACATACGTGCATTTAGAAACTGAGCAAGCAGAAACTATAAGTTCCGATAAAAATAACCAAACATATGATGAAAAATATGATGGACACATTATTATTACACAAAACAATGACATGAATGAAAAATTTAATAAATATGCCAATACTTATAATGCTGAGAATAAAGAATGTGCAGGAAGTAACATAACTTTATGTACACAGATAACAAATACAAATGTTAATATTTTGCAAACCGTTGATGCAGTTAGAGAAAAGATTATGCCACAAAACCAAGATAATAATATACTTCGAGAAAACGAGTGTGTAAATGAATCTATCGCAACTGATTTAATAGAAACCATAAACATTTCTTCAAAAAATTCTGTTAAAGAAAATCAGACACTTGATCAACAACAAAGTAATCAATGTTTATATATCCATACTGATCAGTTAAATAGGATAATCGCGCAAAGTAGATGTATAAACATACCTCTACATCAAATCGAATTATATAGCAATAAACAAAATCAATTGCAAGCAAAAGCAGACAATTGTAGCAAAATTCGAATTTTAGATAGTAACTTACAAGCAATTGACATAAAGCAACCTGACAAGCAAAATACGATTTTGTTTGTATCTAATGATCATTTGAAGAATGGCATTTTTCAAATTGACAGGAATAGTATCAAATACTGTCAAAATTCTAAAAAGATGGACAATTTACAAAGTTAATATGATAATGATAATAATATCTGTACAATAAAATATGTAAAGTTTGATGTTGAACACATTATTATATTTTGTAGTAATGTTAATAGATATGAGATCGATTAATTGAAATATGCAATAAAATCATTATAATGTATAAAAATTCTGGAAAGAACAAGATTAATGAAATAATGCTACATTTTCTGTTTTGTGTAAATACTTTCAAAAAACAAAACTCTAGATAGAAATATATAACTGTTTCTCAATTTTATTACAAGATATAATTATATTTAGGAAAAATGATATAACGGGCTAATCAAAGCATTCTTATGATTTTGATAAAAGTATACATATGATATTATTATTAGGTAATCGATAGTGCAGGCATTTATTTGTTTTACAATATAAGAATTTATTTTTTAGTTCCCAAAACATGTTATAAAATATTATAAGCTTATACAACACATTATTTGCATTTACCAAACTTTCAGATTTCATTTAATACAAAACTATTGTTCAGAATTAAATTTTTTACAATCTTTAGTTTTATTCTCGATATACGAAAAGTAAATTATCTGAATTTGTAGTTTTATTTATATATACATTACTTATTAGATGTAACTAACTTATGTTTATTAAATTAATCGCAAAAATATGATGAGATGTGCCAAATATAAATGTGTTACACATGCGAACTATCTATTTTCTTAATATGATTTCAAAAAGAAAAATATTTTTATTATAAATGAATGAAAGTATTTTTATTATTTAATTCGTATAAAATTATTCAATTCTTTCTTGGGTTATACAAAATTATAAAAATGTGTATGCTACTATATAATTCATTTTTATAACAATTATAATTGAAAACTGTTTATGTTTTATCTCTGCCATATTCGATTATCATATTAGAAGGAAATATATAACGAAATCCATGAGAATAATCTCGCATTTTACGCCTGCACAAATTTGTTATGAACAACAAACTCATAATAAAATAAGAAAAAATTATAAATTTGACAATAAAAAAAAATTATACATATAAACAATGATAAAATATTAAAATTGTACGAAAACAAAGCAAAATCTATAAAAGTTTTTTAACGATCCTCAATAAATTTTTCTGTCTCTTTAAGTAGTCTTCCAAGAAAATCTCTTTCTGCTTAACGTATATGTTTGTTTAATATTAGATTATTTTATATGCAGATTGTGCAAGAAATGACACAGATTATATATATATATTTCTGGATAATTATATTTTATATCATTTAAACAAGCAAATTATAGATACTTGATGTTGCTAAATTATAAATAAGTTTAATTTAAGAACAAGTTATAATTGTTCACATTGAATGGATTTTTCTACATGAATTACGTGCTATTATACAATTATTACGCTAAAATTTATAAATCTATGCGTCTACGACTTAAGCTTCAATGGTGCAAATAACACACACAGACACACACATATAACTTACTTTTTAAATTAAATTTGTTTTTTATGAATTTCCGAATGTTGTTTTTTTATGTGATATATTGAAAAAATAATAATGTAAATAATATAAATAATATAAATCCATTATAGTAGAATATAATTCTAATATCACACATTTACACAGGATGCGGTGGGATAACGACAACATAATCGCGGATATAGTAATTTCTTGTGCAAAAGTAAATTAAAGCTATAGAATCATATATTTCTTCCTTTTTCATTTTTGAGAATATTAATTTTTTTTAAATTTTGGAAAATCCGCCACAGCCTGTTTTTTAATTGTAACGCTACATTGTATCATTCTGATAATTTCTTACATCTTCAATATATCATTGCTCGATTGTGTGCAACACATATCAATAGAGACTAACAAAAACACAATTATATATAAGGATAATAATAATTAGACCACATTCAACATCGACTATAAAATAATGAATTCAACATATATTAACTGCAGCAGAATATTAATTAACAAAATAGATTATATCTAGATTAATACATTTTTATTATAGGATAAAACCGTGCCTTTGAGATTAAGCACATAAGAAATAAGAGTAAGATTATATCATAAAAATAATTAAAAAATATAACGTTAAATGTGTTTGTGAATTACAATGCAACTAACAAGTAATCTAAAAACAAGTTATTCATATTACATACTTATAGTTAGTTTTAATTATACAAAAATATAATAATATTTTAAATATATGTGCGCGTGTGTAGACAAAAGAAAAAGGGGATACATGAAATGAACAATGAAAATTATTTAAGAACGTTCGTCGCTGTGGAATAGTGTTTCTTTTGTGTTGCACTATTTCAATTTCGATCTTGATGTTGTCTACAATAACAGCGCTTCGAAGGCGTGAGCCTAATTCGCGTCACCGCGTTATATATCGATTGCATATAAGGAAAAATAATTTACTATTTACATAATGTATTTTTCTACATATTTTTTGTACTTATAAATAAATTTCTAGAAATATTCTGCGCGCATAAAATTTTACCCTAATTTCCTATGATATTACTTTAAACAATAAAAGAAGAGATAGAGTACTAAATAGATACAAACTCTTTTTTAACTTTTAATTTAGTTAAACTAATCGAATAAAAATTTTGAATAAGGGTGTTGTATCCTTTTCAATCTGTGTCTTAAAAAAAAGTTATGCTGTTTGATCGTTCCAGTTTGTCAACTTATTAATATTATACAAAGATGAAAATAATAAGGCTAAATGTTTCGAACTTTTTTTTTAGAAATCTTTCTCTCCAATATACCGGAATTCATTATTTCAAATTGAGATATTATGCATCTTGATCTTTTACACTATTTACAACCTTTGCTGTGTAATACCGGAGTTTCAAATTTTTCTAAATGAAATGCCGAAACACGTTTTTCAACAAATTTAATCAATCTATTTTTCGATGTGTTTGTAATCGAATTCTGTTAAGTAGAATTATTTTGCTCTTTTATAATCTCATAGGAGATTATAAAAAGAATTATGAGAATTATTTCCATTGCATAAACTAATTTGTCTACGGCAAGAATACCATCCTGTAGATAAGCCGACTACTATGTAAGTATATGTAAGTATAATTACTTTTGGCGAGAAAAACCTACTCTTGATTCGCCATTAGATTAGACTGAGCAGGATTCACTAATTTTTCTCGGTTCTTTTTTAATATATACTCTTGATAAGGTAGGAAAAATAAAAATTACGAAATACTATTTTCGTTATCTTATTCGACAAATCTTTCGTAAGAAAGTTAATGCTTTGTTGAGTTAAATCACCCCCCGAAAAAAAAAAGAAATATTTATATATTTATTATTCAGTGTCAAACATTCGCGACCGGTTCATGCTCTCCAACGACAGCACGCGTGACCGGCAAAGTTACATACCAGCCGTGCGATGCATGCTGTCCTGTTGCTTTTGTTCGGAGAACGGTCAGAGAACAAGGTCGCGAGGTAGCTAAAATGGCAGCCGTCGAGCGGTCCGCATCAGGATAATAGAACGTACATGCAATATATATATATA